CGGGGTCTGGCAGCGAGAGGGCGGGGCTTAAGGAAAGGAGGCGGGGCTTACCGTGAGGGGCGGGGCTGGGATTGGGCGGGGCCTGGCAACGAGAGGGCGTGGCTTAACAAGAGGGGGGCGGGGCTCGCACCGAGTGGGCGGGGCTTAATAAGGAACGCGGCCTTAAGGGGTGACACCGGGTGGTACTGGTGGTACTGGGTCATACTGGGGGGCACTGGGTGATGCTGGGGGGGCACTGGGGGGGTGATTGCGGGGGGGGAGGGGGTCCATGCTCACCCCCCGCCCCTCCCCCAGCTCTCTTCAATCTGATCCCGGTGGGGCTCCGCGTTGTCGCCATCCAGGGGGCGCGGGCCGGGCGCTACGTGGCCATGAATGGGGCCGGGGTGGTCTACGCCTCCGTGAGTCGGGGGGGGACCCCCCCCCACAATGGGGACCCCCCCCCCAAATAGGACACACTATCCGACAACCCCTCCCCCCCTCCGCAATGGGATCTCCCCAATGGGACGCTCAAGCCATTGAGCACAGTGCTCCATTGACCCCAAACCCACTGACCCCAAAGCCCAATAGACCCCAAACTCATTGACCCCAATGCTCCATTGACCCCAAGCCCATTGACCCCAAACCCATTGACCCCAACAGTCCAATAGATCCCAAACCCACTGACCCCAGTGCCCCACTGACCTCAGAAGCCCAATAGACCCCAAACTCACTGATCCCAAAGCCCAATAGACCCCAAACCCATTGACCCCAAACCCATTGACCCCAAACCATTGATCCCACAGTCCCATTGACCCCAATACCCCAACTAACCCCAACCCATTGACCCCAATACCCCACTGACCCCAACCCACTGACCCCACCACATTGACCCCAATACCCCACTGACCCCAATACCGCACTGATCCCAACCCATTGACCCCACTGCCCCACTGACCCCAAGGACAGCAGGACCCCCCCCCGACCCCCCGTTTCCCCCCCCAGGTTCACTTCACAGCCGAGTGCCGCTTCAAGGAGTGCGTCTTTGAGAACTACCACGTGCTCTACGCCTCGGCGCTGTACCGCCAGCGGCGCTCGGGCCGCGCCTGGTATTTGGGCTTGGATCGGCACGGCCGCCCCATGGCCGGGCACCGAGTGCGCAAGGACAAAGCGGCCGCTCACTTCCTGCCCCAGCTGCTGGAGGGTATGGGGCTGAGGGGGCTGTTAGGGGGCTGAGGGGCAATTATGGGGCTGAGGGGGCAGTTATGGGGCTGAGGGGGGACTGAGGGGGCTGTTAGGGGGCTGAGGGGGGCAGTTATGGGGCTGTTAGGGGGCTGAGGGGCTCTTAGGGGGCTGAGGGGAGTAGTTATGAGGCTGGGGGAGGCAGTTATGGGGGCGGTTATGGGGCTGGAGGGGCACTCGGAGGATCAGGGTGGGGGGCGAAGAAGGGGTCCGGCCCCATAGAGGCAGTGGGGCTGGGGGTCGGGGGGGGAGGGGGCTGTTGTGGGGCGCCGTGGGTCCCAACATGGGGGTCTCGGTGCCCACAGTTGCGCTGTACCGGGAGCCGTCGCTGCACGAAGTGGAGGAACCCCCTGGGGGGCCCCCCGAGGCCACGTAGCCCACGGTGGTGACCTCTGACCTCTGACCCCCGCTCCCACTGTGACCTCTGACTCCACTCTGTGAACTCTGACCCCACTCGGTGACCTCTGACCCCGCTCTGTGACGTGGGACAGCCCCGAAGTCTGACCCCAGATGGTGACCTCTAACCCTGCTGTGTGACCTCTGACCTCCACCTGTGACCTCTGACCTCCACCTGTGACCTCTGACCCCAAACGGTGACCTCTGACCCCAACTGTTACCTCTGCACTGTGACCTCCAATCCTGACCTCTGACCCCAACAGGTGACCTCCGACCCCCGACCTTGTGACCTCTGACCCCAAGCAAGACGCCCCCTGGATCTGTGACCTCCGACCCCACTGTGACCTCTGACCCCAAACCCTGACCTTGACCTCGGTGACCCCCAACCCCGTTCTCTCACCTCTGACCCAAAACACGACCCCCCAGAACTGTGACCTCTGACCCCACTGTGACCTCTGACCCCGCCCCCCGCCCCCCCTGCACTGACACCCCCCAGGGGGGGCCCCCAACCCCC